GTGTTTGCACGGCTGCGTCGCTTGTGAGGTGAAAGTAGGGGCGTGAGTGGGTGGATGAAGGATACGTCTCTGGCGGCTGGTGCGCGTCCAAGGGGGAGAGTGAGCACGTCTGCTTCCTGAATTGCGGATGTCTCCGCAGGTGTCGGTGTCAGCATGCAAACGAGGGTTGCGCGTGAGCACGTGCGCCGCACGCTCGCGCACACGCACGCACGCGCGCGCACACACACACACACACACACACACACACACACACACACACACACACACACGTGCATACCGCACGGCCCCTCCCTTCCAAACCCCTCCACACCGCAGGTGCTGGCCAGCGATGGGCTGTGGGACAAGGTCAGCCCCCAGGAGGCGGCCGCGTTTGCCGCCAACGCCTGGACCCGCTTCGCCCAGGACCCCAACGCCGGCAGTGGCGAGCTCTCGGCCACTGCCTCCGGCGCCAGCGACAGCGACGCAGCCAGCCCCCCGCCGTCGCCGCGTGCCGCTGCTCGCGCGGCCGCCGCAACCCCCGATGCGCGCCGCGAGCGGCTGCTGGTGCGCGAGGGCTCCCGCAGTTCTCTGGCCGGGCCCCAGCCGTCCGTCGGCCGCACCTGCCGCGCGTGCAAGGCCGCGCGCGTTGCGGCGGCGGCGATGACGCGCTGCGCACGTGGCCGGCGCAGCCGCGATGACACGACTGTGCTTGTGGTCAACCTGCAGCAGGCCTGCAGGTGCCCCGTCAGCTGGGCCATGGTGTCGGCGGGCGAAACGTCCTCACAGATGAGCACGCCCAAGGGCAGCCTCGCCGCCGCCTCCGCCTCTGTGCTCGCGTCGGCCGCCCCGTCCCCACCGCGCGGCGGAAGCGGTGGCGGAGGTGGAGGCGGCGGCGGCGGGAGCAGCAGCCTGCGCGAGGCCCTGGCGAGCCTGCCGCCCGGCGCGCGGATGCCATCTGTGCAGGAGCGCGAGGGCGACGCGGAGCCGACCTCTGAGTTTGACGACGAGGGGCAGGAGGACGGGGAGGGGGAGAGCGACTTTGTTTCGGCGCGCGAGTCAGAGGGCGGCGACGAGGAGGACGACCTGCACGGGCTGCCCTCGGCGCAGCCGGGGCGCTGGCACCACCAACACCATCCGCATCAACAGCGGCAGCTGGGCCACGCGGGGCAGTGTGGGGGCGTACTCGCTGCCCAGGACCAGCTGAGCGAGGCGGAGGGCGGCTCTGGGTCCATGGCGTCGCCCTTTGCGGTGGCGGGGCCCCCGCACGACGGCGCCACGCCCGGCAGCACGACACCCGTGGCGGGCACACCTCCGCGCTGCACAACGCCCGATCTGGGGGCGTTTGGCGCGCCCGGCGCGGCCGTGCCGCCGTCGCCTGACTTAGGGGCTTTTGGGGCGGTCAGGGCAACAACGGGCCGGCCGCCGCCGCCAGATCTGGGGGCGTTCGGCGCGTGTGCGCCGCTGCGGTCGCGGTCGCGCTCGCCCTCTCCGGACCTGGGGGCGTTTGGGGCCCGCGCAGCGCAGCCATTTGCATCACCCTACGAAGCATCCCCCTACGCTGCAGTGGGCGCCACGTCGTTCGGCGCCATGTCGTCCGCGGGTGCCCCCTCCATCGGTGCTGACGGGTCCTCGGTCAGCGCGCCGGCACCGGGGCCGCCCTTCGCGTCGGCGCACGCCCCGTTTTTCGAGGGGCCGTTGGGCGTGGGGCCGCGCGACTGGCACGGCCTCGCCTGCGGGGGCAGCCAGAGCGCAGGCCCCGGCAGCACGGCGGCGCTGGAGCACCTGGCCCATCAGTGCGTCTCGGTGTCGCTGGCTGCCGTCGGGGAGGGCGAGGGCGGCGGCGAGGAGGACACCGGCGCCAGCAGCAGCGGCGATGACGCGGCCGCGGCCACGGGCGCGGCCCTGCGCGCCGCACGGCCCAAGTCGCACCCGCTGAGCGGGCTGTCATCGCTGGAGGCCGTCACAAGCGCCGCCGGCACTGACGTGGCGGTCTCCACTGGCAGCGGCGAGCACAGGTGGTGAGCCATGCCCGCGCCGCGCAGTCGACAGCCCTGCTGCCCTTCCAGCAGCTGCCGTGCGCACAACAGGCGCGGCGCAGGGCGTGGGTTTGGCGAATAAACTTTGCCGCTGCACAGTCTGTGCCGCGGCTCTTTCTTGCCCCTCTGCGCCACTTGGCGGATGCGCGTGGACACAACGCCTTCACAATCCTGACAGCTGAGCTCGTGGCACTTGCACGGGCTACAGGCGCAGCGCCTGCCGATCGGGTGCATGCCTTGCGCCTGGAGGCGGCGTTTCGCACTGTCGCCCCAGTTGCTGCCTGAAGTGGCCGGGCGCCAAGCCGCCTGCTGACAAGATCTGCCCTGACCCCTGTGACCATCTTTCGCTTTGCGTTGGCCGTGGGGTGACTGCCATCCCCCGTGGCGCCTGGCAGACCCCTAAGCGGTCATTGCACAACGTGCCCTTTGGAGCCTAGACCTGCCAGGCGCCCCTGCCTTGCGGGGGCTTGCTGGCAACGCGCCCCTGGGCTTGAGCATGCAGTGTGGCCTGGTTCTGGCTTGCTTGCACGCGGCATGCCCTCTGTTCAGGCCCGGTGCGCTTGTCACCCCACACCGCTGCTGCAACAGGCAGCCTCGCTCGCCTCAGGCCCAGGAGCCCACACTCGGGCAGCGCAACCACGAGCCCGTGAGGTTGAATGCGCGACGGCTGTGACCACAGTATTTCGATTGTCATTATGCTACACCCCAAGCTGTTTTTGCTGCTGCACGGATGGCTGCGGTCAAGCGTTTTCGCGCACACGCGTGCACCCTTGGCACCGCACGGCCACCTGTCATGCAGGAGCCCTCCAGTCGCTGGTCATGTCCTGGAGTTGGCAGGAGGTTAGCGGCACAGCAACGCTCAAGACCACATGCACTGCCATCAGACCATCGCCAAGGCAGCTGCATTATGGATCGGAAACGGGAACCCCACTCTTACATACGGGACAGGAGCTTGGGCGGCTGAGCCTCGTATCGCCACGCCGCATATGCCAGGGCGTGCCCTTGTGGCATGTGCTGTTCACAAAGCGTGTTGGGGTTGCGCGGGGAACCGTGATTCTCCCCGGCATGTGGCGAGGCTGAGGGCGCACAAGGCAACGCATGCCAGGAAGCAAGGGCGTCCTGTTGGCGCAGTTACTAATTGTACATTTTGTAAATGCAGGAGGAAAAGGAAACAGCATCTCCGGCATCGTCACAGGGTCACTAGCTAGCTGTATGATCACCACGGCTGCGCATTCGGGCTGCGCGGCTCGCGGCTGGATGCTGGTGTTGGCCCGGCAGACAGCAGATCGGGCAGGAGCGACGCGAGAGACTGGGCTGAAGGGGAGGGCGCCGCTCCAAAGATGTCGTCGCTGCCTGCATCAAATGAGCACAGGGCGGATTGCACACCAGCTGTTTGATGTGTTGGACGATGTTTCGACGTGCATGACGTGGGGCCGCTGGTGTGCGCAGCAGCGTGCACCCTCGCTGCCGTGCCCCTGTAGCTTTGACGCCACCGCCTGCGCACCTGACAGGCCTGCTAGTGGAGCTTGGCGAGCAGCTAAGGCACGTCCTCTGCGCGGCGGCGGCTGCGTCGGCTGGGGTGCCAGCAGTGTGTCGGCGTCGTCGTCGTCGTCTCGAGCCACCTGCACCGAGGCGGCAACAGCGGCTGCGGTGGTGGATGTGCTGTCCTGCACACCCACAGGACAATGCAGCAGAGAGCGGTGATGCGCAGACACTGCTGGCTTGCCTCACAAGCCCCAATCATGTGGACCAGCGCCTTGCACCCCATTCATACTGCACGGGCCCGCGCACTCGCAGAACCCCTGGGCGCCAGCTGCCCAGCCGCGCCGCCAGCTGCTGTGCCGCTGCGGCTGCTTGCGAGTCTTCCCGCTCCTCTATGTCTTCCTCAAGCTGCATCCAGGTCTTGCCCGCATATTGCTCCACGCCGCTGGCAGCGTATTTCTGCGCCAGGCTCTGCTGCTGCTGCTGTTGCTGCTGCTGCGGTGCGACCAGCGCATCTGGTTCGGCGCCCTTCACCACTGACTGGTTGTAAATACGAAGTACAGGGTGCCCTGCTGTGGTGGGTTTCTCGCTGCCTTCCTGCTCAGCCTGCCGCTGTGCATGCCAGTTCGAGTTGACAGGCAGCTCACCCAACGCGCGGCGCGGCTTTGACGCTGCAACGCCCACGGCGCCCTCAGCTGCGGCTGAAGCCTTGTTTGTGTTTGTGATGTTTCCGAAGGCCTTCCTCGCGCTCAAAGGGGCCGCCTTGAGGCTAGGCCCGCCCTGCTGATGAGCCTGCTTGTTGTTGAGGGCGAATCCCGCATTCTCGTCCTGAAGGCGTCGATTTGTATGCAGCAGCTGCACGTCGTTCTCCATGGGATGCCGGCCGTGAAGACGATGGACCCGCGATCAACTTGCGCGCAGCTGGCGATCTGCTGGATTGAGGTTGCGCTGAGGGCGCATATCATGGTGTACCATATGGTATTGTTCGATCAGCCCACGTGTATGATACGGTACAGGCAGTTGCTCCACCCTGCAGAGGGTGGCATACAGTACTGTAGCCGCTGCCTGGCCGCTGCACGTGCAGGGTTGTGCCAGGTCGCGCCCTGGTCGTGCCGCACTCTCAGCTGCCACTCCCACTGCCGGTTTTTGAGCCAACTTTGGCGCATGGGCATGGTCAAGCCTGCGACCCGACCCTCTGCATGCCGGTTCTACTGATGCGACAGCGATGCTGCTAGTGCGCCACCAACACTACGACGACAGGGCGCGCTAACCCGGCACTACGTGGCGCTGGTGCCGCACTAAGGCACACTAAGCGGCACTAAGCGCGTCTGTGGCGCGCTAAGTGCCCTTAGTGTGCGTGGCCTCGCCATGCCCTTTCAAGCCGGTGTGATTGACACGGAAGGTCTCCCCCAGTGCACAATGGCACATCTTCCCATGCGTGCACATCACACGCTCCCCGCCACCCCGTAGCCGCTGCACATACAGCACTATATATGAGCCGCATCAAGGGCGATGGCCCTAACCTGCCGCAAGCTCATGGCAAAATGATCATGGTGCACATTGCAATCCAGCATCGGCCCCGGCGGGCGGCACTCTTCCTCTTCAGCAATCACATGCTGCAAGCGAAAAATGGACTGAGATCCTCTGATGGCTGCAAGCTCTTGTGTCACGAGAAACTTTTGAAGAAGGTTCAGGGATTCCCAGGCTGCTAGATGCTGTCGAGTACCATCCCCGCCCGCTCGCTGCGTGCCAGGCGTGTGACAGCAGCCATCACGGGCCAGCGCACACAAAGCTGGCGGGACGTCTATGCATAAGCATCAACAAGTGTACTAACAAGTTGTTTCCATCACACAGTTACGAAAGCAACCGCCATAGAGAGCAAGCGCCATGGGAGGAGCTGTTCCTAGAGCGGATGTTCAGTGAAAAAGTTTTCTGCACCTTTCATACATCAAATCAGTGCGTAGGAGGTTTCACAGGTGTGCCTAGGGCACTGATCAGAGGCGCTTGGCAACCTTCCCTCAACACAGGCTGGCGGCACAGCAAGGGCCCCGGAGTATGAGCTGCATGAATGGCTGGCAGGTGGCGGTTGCAGCCACAGGAAGCTGCTCAAGGTGCGAAAAGAACACACACAGGTGCAGAAGACTGCCAATCAAGTATTTCTGTTCACAGGACAACCTTATCAGTATGCACACGGTGTGTTGAGCTGAACGGCTGTATTCACCAAACTGCAGAGTCAACTGCTGCCGCACAACAGCACTGCGGAAAGCCTTTCACACTGCCACCACAACGAAGAGCAGCACCGCTGCCCCGGTCATCAAGTTGAAAACGCCCAAGGACGTTGACGCGGCGCCGCTGTGCGCCACGCGCGCCGCAGCCTCGGCAAACGGCATGTGTGCTGCAGCTATCAGCACGTCCAGCCGCTGCTGCAGGCGCTCCGTCATGATGACTCCGCCAATGACATGAACCGCGCTCCTGCGGCCCAGGCCAGCATCAAGCGCTTCAAAGGCCAATCCCTCCACGGTCAGACCATCATCAAAGGCCACCCTTTGCCGCCAGGGACGTGCCCCGCCCATCAGCGCGGGAGCCGCGCCGCTCTTGCTGCTGCTGCCGCTGCCGCTGCCAAGGAAGCTACCTCCACTGCCAGCAGCTCCAGACGCCTGCGCTGACTCAATCGCCAGCGGAGCCCCCACAGGCCTGCGAATAAACAAGTTGGGATCCATACTATTGAGTCCAGTTAGCCTGTTGCTTGGCACGAAAAGAAGTTTAGCCCAGGGGCAGACCACTCACTCAAATGCGTGCAACTGCACGCGCACCCCTCCCCCTAGGTGCAACTGGCTCCTTTTACTCCCCCAGGTGCAGCCAGCTCTTGAATTCCTTCCATGCTTACATGCCACTTATTCTCAGCCGTAAGTTGGAGCCGTCGCTTGGCGTCACTGCCAGTCCCGCAAGCGCGCGCGCCTGGAGTGCTGCGCTGCCCAGCGCCGCGCCCGCCACCCAATGGTGCCCGACAAGCGCCTCTGCCAGGGCCCTGCCCTCCGCCAATGATGCCGCCGCGTCCCAGACACCTGCAGGCGCAAGTGCCTCAAGGGCCTGCATGGCAGGCGAAGCAGGGGCACGGTGTGGTGTGGTGGGGTAGGGTGGGGTGGGGTGGGATCGGGTAGGGTGCAGTGGGGTGGAGTGGGGTGCGGTGGGGCGGGTGGAGTTTCCTGGGGTGATAGGGCACCTGGGCACCTGCTGCCATGCACAGGTGAGGATGAGCGGTATCGAAGAATAGCAACGGGGAAACATGACAGGGGAAACACTGGCCAGCCGCCTGCAATCAGACACAGACATTGCAGTGTTCCAGGATGCAGCGCGCTGTGCAAGGATGGGATGCCCAATCTCGCCGCAAAAAACGCCAGCTTTATCGTAGCGCGACCCCTCGTGCCTCCAACCGTACATCGGCCCCCCTTACCGCATCAGACGGCGCAAACAGGGTCATGCGGACCGCCGCATCCCCCAGGACTGCCTCCAGCCCCGCTGCGCGTACCAGCCCTGCAAACCGCCCCACTCCAAGCCGTGGGTCGCGCAGCGCCTCCGCCGCGCTGGCGTATCGCAGCTTTGCCTGGGCCGCCGCGCCCGCTGCGCCGCCGGCAAGGTTGCTTAGCGTCGCCTGTGGCTCGGGGGCCGCGCCCAGTACGTGAGCGACGGCTCCGCCCGACTGCAAGTCCACCTCCACCACCTGGGCAGCGTTGCCGCCACCCAGCGCCACGACCAGGCCCCTGGATTCTGTCACGCCCACCACCAGATCGCCGCCCGCTGCATTGGGCAGCGACAGCGCCGCAAATGAGGAGGACGTCTTGCTCCGCAGCTCTCGCGCGCGAAGGGGGCGGCCGGGTATGGTGAGAGCATTGAGGAAGGCTGCGAGCCCACCAGTGTCGTCTGACTGCTGAGCGCGCTCCGCCGCCGCTGCTGCCATAGCCTAAGAAAAAACACAGGTATGGGGTTGGTGGTAGGAATGCAGCTGCTGAGGCGGGGTTTTGGGCATGTTGGTGGTGGCTTGGAAGCTGGTAGGGCTGGGCAGAGCCACAGCCAGCATCCCCTGCAAAGGGTGCAACCTGAGAGGTCCTGCCATGAGCAATGCCAATCATGCCGCGTGCTCCCAGCTGCGGGCGCCGCATTGCCACCGCAGCGGCTTGCCTCGTCAGTGGGGATGAACACCGTTCCCTCAAAGAGCGGGTCACTGAGAGGCGTCAGCGGCCCCGTACGATCAACGGCCGTCAGCCAGGCGCTCAGCGCCCAGGCAGCTTGCGCAAGCGGCGTCAATCCAGGCTCGCTGCTGGTGGCGGCGTCCTGTTCGTCGATAATGCTCGCGGGGGGCAGGCCGGGGCCGGCGCTGGCGCCGTCCAAGGGGTCAGCATTGCGCACGGCTGCCGTGGAGGGCTCGCCTGCATGCATGAGGAGGCGGCGGCATGCAAGTGGGGCGTGCACCAAGTGGCTGGCGGTCGCTCCTGAACTGGGGTGGACACATTCTACCGGCAGGTGCGAGCGCCTGCGTGGCAGCTAGAGCTGCTGGGGAGCTGCAGCGCTGCAGAACGGGTCCGCACCAGAGGGTGCGTCTTGATCCGTGGCCTTGATGCGCAGGCCGCCCGGGTCAGTCTCCGAGCCAGCATCCAGATTTTGGGAAGGTTCATTAGCGGCAGCCACTGCCGCGGCACCACCTGCATTGAGGCATGAAGCCCACGGCTATGGAACGAGTGCACGTCACACAGACGGACCACAGCAGTGCGTCGGGGTCGCGGGCGCACGCGCGCTCAGGGCAGCCATCAGCCCCACACACACAAATCACCTGAACATAATAAAACCGCAAATATAGCCACCAGCGCTCCTACGGAGCGCGGAGCGGACATTCAGACACCCCGCGGAATCGGTATTTTTGGACGGCGCACTCAAAGACTACCGTAAGTATTACGATATCCAAATATTTGTATGAAACCCTGGAATTGAAGTATGTATACTGTACCTCAGCCTCCTTGGAGTTGCGACAGGGGTCGCAGTCGGCCGTCACCAGCCCACAGGTGAACCAGCAGAGTGGGGTGTCCCTGCCCTTACCCGTTCCATTTGATCCTGTATCAAAAATGACAGACTTGAGCGTGGGATGCTGTTATCCTGGTCGGTGCAGGTGGGTGGGTGGGGGGGGGGGTAAGTTGGCCGCTTACCCATAGCGCGAAACGGGTGCAGTGCTCGAGGTGACTGAGTCAGAACAGACAACTAATTTGCGGCAAGTAATTTAGCACGTTTTAGGTGTAGGGCCTTTTCAGTAGTGTCACTAGACCTCGTTTGCTGCGCCCATCAAGTGTATGGCTGGCTTGGTGTGCAGGAATCTGGCTCGGCTTGCATGGGTATGCTACAACGACACTGCAACTTGCTGGGCATAAACAAGAATCCAGCAAAAACCAAATGTGAGATCAAGCCTGGGGTGCAGGGCCCCGTTCTGACCAGGTTCTGACTGCCAATGAACGGAGCGCCTGAGTGCAGTGACATGGCAGTATGGCTGGCACTCAAACCCAGCCCACAGACCAGCATAAAACGATTTTGCGTGTGGATTATCGGAAAGATATCCATTGGACGAATTGTACAATTTGCAAAGTTACTGTACGTGTAACATAGTACTGTACAGTGTGTGGTTCTGATCTCGATTTCGCCATGTCATCCTCGCAAGTCCCAGTTTCTCCGCACATGCGCCATTGTAGCGGCTACGAAAAGCGACGGAGCACTTGCGCTGTGCCTGTTGCAAGGTGCATCTTGAAGTGGCTGGCGTTGGGGTGGCAGGCAGCGCGCCACTGGTACTCAGCACATGCAGGTGGTTTGCTGCATCGCCACATTTTGGAAATCCCGTAGGCGTATAATGTGCATGTGGACGACATGCGATACGATCGATTGCGCACGGACTCACCCCCATGACGTGCCCTCAATCCGCAGGCGGCCCACACGTATCCAGGCGCAGGCGGCAGCGGGCAGTGTGATGCGCGAGGTGCTGACTGGGCCGCAGAGGTCAAAGCTGGACTTTTCCTCGGACCGCAGCTTTTACAGTTTTCCCCGGCTGGTGGGCTCTGATAAATGGAGTGTTTGTGTGTGCGAGTGTTTCAGTGTGCATGCGTCCTGGGGTGGGAAAGTGTTCAGTTGGCAGTCGCAAGGCTGGAAACGGCCAGGCGTTGCGGGTGGCCCAAGGCAGGTGGACGAATCCTGCAGGCTTGGAGGCGAGCGTTGGGCAGCCATCAGGCTTTGCGCCGCCTTGCACAGCACTCGTATGCACCAGGCAGCTGTGCTGTGTGGCCTTTTGCACTGATTCACGGTGCTTGCGCTCAGCTCTCGCCCGCTTGTTGCACAACAAAAAAACAGGCCTGCCACCACAACGGCACCCCCCCCTCGGACTTGATCCGTTCAGGTGAAGCATGTGGATGACAGCTTTTTGACAAAGGTGACAGAGATCTACCGGCAGAGGATACCAAATGGTGGGGGTCGGAGCCTGCTGCTGCCCCCGGGCTGGGACAGGGGGCGGCCACATGACCACATGGCTGTGGCTCTGTGCGTCCTGTGTGCACAGGCCCTGGCTGGCACACGGTTGAACCCCCCACACCTTGTCGGAGGGGCGACACACACTTCCCCATCTCCCCCCATACGCACGCCCTTGCCACGCGTGCGTGCGCTTCCACGGCCCTGCCGTGTCATCAGACGCTGTGGTCCTCGATCTGTGCAGCTCCTGGGTGTCGCACCTGCCCAAGGAAAAGAAGTTCAAGGAGGTGGGATGGGGCCATAGGTTGGGACGCCGGGAGCGCGGTTGGGATAGCGGAGTCGACAGCGGGGGCGTTGGCGCATGTAGAGGGGTAGGCGGGTTGACTGCCTGCAACACGCATGCATACGCCTCATGCAGTCCCCGGGACCTTTGAACTGCGTTCACCCCTCTCGTGCCTGCCCCAAACAAGCCAATTCATTCACCCCCGGATGTGCATGCGCGTGTGCGTGTTTGCGCACGAGCGCGTGCACACGCGCGCACACACACGCACACACACGCACATGCACATGAAATCGCTCGTACGCACATGTTTTCAATAGGTGATAGGCCACGGCATGAATGCGCTTGAGCTGCAGAAGAACCCCCAGCTGGACCGGTATTTTGTTCGGTGAGGGCCCACCGGCAGCCCTCGCTGTAGAGGGAGGGTTGGGGGGAGGGAGGGGGGGAGGGGGGGAGGCTGAAACGGGTGAGAACAAGCTGTTTGATGGGGGTGGAAGGGTGGAGGTGGAGTGAGGTGGGGTGGCGTGGGGGGTGGGGGGTTGCGTAGGCAGGCCCGGAAAGGGAGGCGTTGCTGCCTGCTGGGAGGGCGGGGCTGCACAGGCCCACTCACTCTCCGCACCCTGGAGGGGGAATGGAGGAGCCTGGCACTGCTGGTCGTTGACGGGGGCACATCTCCCACAGCCCAACCTGTAGCATCATTCTCTGGTCCCTGCCGCACTCGCACCCACACCTGCCTCCCGCCCCGTCAACCCGGCCCTGGCACCAGGGACCTGAACCAGGAGCCGGGGGGCTGGGCGCTGGCGGACGCGTCTGTCGACGCCGTGGTCTGCTGCGTCAGGTCAGCGGGGCGCACGCGCACACTGTGCCACCGACCTTGAGACTGCGCCACAGCAACACAGCTCGGCCGTCTGTGCCCTCGACCCTTTCGCAGTGCAGCGCTTTGACTACATCCCCACTCATTTGTACGTGCCTTACCACGATCCTTCTTTGTGAAAGGGTATCTAGTGCCCCAGCAGCGATGGTTGAGCACACCTGCAGCTTGCATGATCTCAGTCTCTAAAGCCAGACATACACGGCCCGCTGTCCGCGCCTCCCAACAGTGTGCAGTACCTGCAGCAGCCCGAGGCTGTGTTTGCCGAGGTGTACCGCGTCCTGAAGCCCGGGGGTGTCGCCATATTCACCTTCAGCAACAGGATGTTCTACGACAAGGTGGGGCGCGGGGTGCTGCGCAGCAGGGAGGGGGGAACAGGGCAGGGGCCAAGTCCAGGGGTGTATAGTGCAAATCCCGCCCCCCGCTTTGTGAGAAATTGATGTGTCTTCTCCTTGCACGTACACCCTCAAGGGCTGCTTTTCTGTCACGGACTCTCCACCCAGCACTCCCGGCTGCCTTGAACACCCAGCCACCCACACTTTCTTGAGCGTCACACCCCCCCGCCTCACAGGCCATCTCAGCCTGGCGCGACACCACTGGCTACGGCCGGTGCCAGCTCGTAAAGCAGTGAGCATCACGGGCCTCGCCACCTCATCCGCCACCAGCGTCACACACTGTTGAGTACAGCCCGTGATCGGCCTTTCCTTCTGCCGATCTAGTTGACGCCGACTTCACATGCAATCCATGCCCTTGCACCCCCCCAACAACACAACCCATCTCACTATGCATATCAAGGTACTTTGGCTGCGTGTTCGGGTTCACAGAGCCCGAGGTGCTGCTGGAGGTCGCCCCCAGCAGCGGAGGTGCCGTCGGTGCCGCGCCCGACCCGCTGGCGCGCCTGCTGCGGCCGCTGCAGCAGCTGTTTGAGCGGGGGTCGGCGGACCCCTTTTACGCGGTGGTGGCCTACAGAAACTTCAGGAGGGAGGACGTGTGAAGCTGCTCGCGACCCGTGGACGCGGTCCACAGCGTTGTAAGCACGCCCCTGCGCCTGGCTCTTGCAGCGCTGCGTCAGGGCCTTCCCTTTCAAAGGTAGTGCAGAGCGCTGCTGTTACACTGGGGCAGTGCGCTTCTGATGGGGGAAGGGCCGACAACGCACTGCTGCGCTTCAAGTCCAACACAGCACTGAGCATAGCGGCGTGCACGGCCCAGCGCAGCGACGTACCCACTCCAGCACTGCTTGCCACCCGTTTCAGCCGCCTGTTGTGTGTGTAATCAGCTGATCAAGGGCTAGGCGTATCAATGGTTGCAGGGTCAGGGTTCGGTACGTGGTGTTGATGCTCTGATGGCCAGAGGCTCGCTGCTGCAAGTTTTGGGCGTACCCCGCCCCGCCGGTTCATTTGTGGCTGACTGACAAAGCGCCAACAATGTAATCAAGGCGCTGCGTTACAGATGCGCGCACATGAACAGTGTGTCTCGCTCCACGTCGCGGGAAACGTTATGGGGGAAGGGCCGGGCAGGCGCGAGCGCGCTGCATGCGCGCGCGCAAAACCCGCTGCCGAGAGGAAAGGCCTAAGCAAGAGCAACAAAGTCTCATTTCCCTGGAGCAATCTCAAGGGCAGCGACGGAATAGGTTCTGGTCAACTAACAACAATGCAAGCCAGCGCATAGCCTGCTCTGGCGACAAACGCTGTCACATACCAACAGGGCGGTCGCTCACTTGCGACCCCTAGAAAGGGCGCCATTGCCGACAACATCCGCCGACGCGTGCCGCTGCAGCGCAGCGCCGGACCTCGGCGTGCGTGGCTGGTCCTCTGTGGCCTCGCCGACGGGGCCGGTGTGATGGCCGCTGCGGCGGTCGCCCTCGTCGTAGCTTGCGTCGGCGTCGTCCAACGACAGGAGGCCCTGCTGCGCCGCGCGCCGGCGGCGCCTCAGCACCAACAGCGCCAGCGCCACAAGTGCCAGCCCGACAACGCCGCCGATGACGGCGCCAGCGATGACGCCGGCGGTGCTCTTGGCGGCGGCGGGGCGGCCAGGGCTCTCAGTAGCCAGGGGCGCCTTGCCCAGGTCTGCCTGCTGCTCCGTGATCTGCTTCACAATCTCGGGAATGCCGGTGGTCTTTGAGTCGATGCGCCGATCGAGGGCCGCACCAGAGTACTCCTGGAGGTACAAATGGGGCGGGTGCGTGCATTTGTGCTGAGGGGACCGAGGTGGGTTGACAGTGTATGTGGTGTGCAAGAGTGTACACATCGCAGGCAGGCCCACCTATCCCGATTGAGCAAGCAGTCAGAATTTCAGGGAGGCCGCCAACCATCAACCTCGCTTGCTCGCCACCTGCAGCCACCTGTGCCCATCTATTCTGCTATTATGCCAACCCCCTGCTGCCCTACAAACTCACCCTCTCCAGCTCGGCAGCTGCTGCGGCGATGTCAATGTTGGGGTCTGCTGCCACCCTGGCCGCCAGGGCGCTGATGGAGGCGGCCAGGTCGATCTGCTGCACCGCGCTGATGGCCGTGATGCGCACCAGCGCGTTGATCGCGTCAAACTCGCGGCCCTCCCTGTGGGCGGCCTTGGCGGCGGCGACAATCTTCTGCAGCTGGGCGTTGGTGCCCGCGATGACCTGTGTGTGGAGGGCACAAGCCCATGGGTTGCAGGGGTGTGCTGGAGGTGGCATGTGGTGTGACATGCAGCTAGTAGCCTGGGTCAGGGGATTGCAAGGCTCATGACCACTTGTCATCTAGAAAAACATCCCTGCCAAGCAGAACACGATATTCAAGCGCCTTCGGCCCGCGTTTCGCCGCTCCCCCCCCCTCCCAGGCGCACGGCTGCGCACCCTCGCAACGGCATCAAACAGTGGCTTGAGCTCGGCGGCGGTGCGCTGGGTCGCGCTGTTGTGCAGGCGCCGCATCATGCGGCGGCGCGCATTGGGCAGCGCGGCGGAGTAGCCGTCAGTGTAGAGGCCCGACAGCACCTCAGCATCGCTCAGCGCAGCGCTGCCGTCCCCAGTCTGCGCCCAGCTGGCGTTGACCCTGGAATAGGTGGCCTTGACCACGGAGGCCGCGATGTCGTCGAGCGAGGCCTGGCTGCCCAGCAGCGGCTCAAACATCTCAAGGGAAGAGGAGTAGACGGCCATGACCTCGCTGCTGGTTCCCATGAGCGCCGCAGCAATCGGCTTTCCCAGGGTCAGGTTGTCGCCGACATATGTGAGGAAGTCCACCTGGGGAGTGCGGTGATTTTCGGGTTGGAAGGTAGGGGGCCAGTGGGGGCAGGGGTGACTGTCGGCACGGTCCAATATGAGGTGGGGGAAAGCTAGGGCGAAAAAAGGGGTGGGTGCTCAAGAGATTGGAGGGGTGCCAGAAGAGAGGCTTCCACAGAGCACCTGCTGGCGGCCGTGTGGATGCGCCGTGCAAGAGGCCGGGGCGTTGAGCTGGGAAAGGCCAGTGAGACAGCCGGGCAGCGACAAAGTTGCGAGCGTCCCTGACGAGACCCACAGCCGCAACACCATGATTCTGCCCCGGAGTGCTCACCCCGAGCTGTGTGGCGTCGTAGCCGAAGAGCTTGTAAGCGTGGGTCCAAAGGTAGTGCGGCGCGCGGCCGTCTGTGGGGCGGCCGTTGTACAGGCGGGTGACTGTGGGGTCCTCCGCAATGGGCACAGTCAGCAGCGCCAGGGGGTTGACCGCGGTGCTGGTGACGGGCGGCACGTAGATGGTGAAGGGGAACCGCACGGTCGCGCCCGTGATGGCATCCTTGCAGGAGCTGCCCGGCAGGGCGTTGCTGAAGCGGTAGAGGCCCAGCTGGGGGTTGGCCACCTCAAAGGCGCCCAGCGAGTCGGTGGTGAGGTCCAGCTTGTCGCCCGTCAGGATGGCCTCGTACTTGCCCTGGGGAGGACAATGCAGGGGTTTGCGGGTGGGTCTGAGCGGACGGCTTGACGAGATTCAGGGTTGAGGGAGCTGCATGAGGGCTCTGCATGTGGGTGCAACAGTCATGACATACCAAGGTGTGCGACGGAGTTGTGTCGCCGCCTCTGGTCACACGCCGATGACGCAGCCGTAATCTAGCAACAGTGGGTTCGTGGACTGTATTCTGTGCATTTTCACACCTTGCAATCCTTGACGCCACCATTGTCCAGGACCCGCCCCGCCAGCTTGCTGACAGGCAGCCCTGCGGCTGCCAGCCGCGTGTTGACGACCAGTGCCTCGGCGATGGCGCTGACGTTGACCGCCGCGCCGTTGATGAGCTCCTCCAGGGAGGTGGTGAAGGGCAGGAAGGGGTTGGAGGCACCCTGCCCCCTGCAGCACTGCTTGGTGGCGTCCAGCAGGTTGGTCTGGCCGATCTTGGCCAGCTTGGTGAGGCGCACCAGGTCAGAGTGCAGCGTGATGGGCACCTCGCTGCCAACAGACAGACCATTGTACTTGTTCTGTGAGTAGTTGCAGGAATTTGTGCATTGAGCAGCACGTTGATGGTATAACAAATGGATGGAGTAGAAGTGTAAACGTGCGCAAAGCAGGGTTGCATTTCATGCATATGAGGGGAAGGAGGGTGGGGTGTAAGGGCACGATTTGGATTACAGCGTCAGCATGATATTTCCGTGGCAAAAGGATTACTACACATGCGGACCCAGAAGAGCGGAGCATCCAGCAGTCTGCAGGATCTGCAGCCGGCAGTCTTCCACCCCCAGCCTACCGCAATGTTCCCCAGGTACTTGTGGATGGCAATGAGCGCAGGCACGGCCTCAGTGGCGCAGCCCGAGAGGCACAAGTCCCTCAAGGCGGCGGTCATCTTGGAGGCAGAGTGCCACAGATCAGGCTTGATCAGGGCTTGAGCCCACTGCGGGTGTATGGTGGGTCATGGCAAGGCGTTGCAGGTCACGTGAAGCGCGCACGTCTTGAACACCCTAAGAAGCTGAGTTGGTGCACCCATCACAACGGCCCTTGAGCTGGCGGCTGTGTTGCCCAACGCATCGGCTCTTAGGACTGTTGACAGAATGGCATGTCCTCAGCAGACAGCGTCCAAGCACGCGTCACCCCTGTCGGCTGTGCACCTGCACACACGCACCTGGTTGAACAGCTCGTTGCTGAGCCGTGCGCCGGCGCCCTCACGGCACTCGTACAGCGCACGCGCCAGCGACAGCGTGTCGAGCACCTTGGCGCTGGCCACCAGCGAACCAACCGCTACGCCAATCTTGACGGGGTCGCCAGTCTGCAGCATCAGCAGCGGGTCAGAGTTGACCATGCCCGCGCCATATGCGCCACCGTTCGCTTTGACGTTTACGCTGGCATACGCGGCGTCGTACTTCTGGGGCACGCTTGCTGAGGACGTGTCGCCCAGCGTGAGCATTGCCACGGGTGTGATGACGACCTGCGCTGCCCAGTCAGGCTGGCCCCTGCTGTCGGCGGGGTACGGCGTGAGGCCCGAGACGGGGACGCTGATGGGCGCAGTGGTCCAGGTGTCGATGCAGTGGTTGCCTGTCGGCTGCTCGGGGGAGTCCGCCCAGGCATTGGACGCGAGTGAGTAACCCTCGCCCGTGACCTGGTCCACGCCAAAGTATCCATATGTGGAGAACTGGGAGGGGCCAGTGATGAAGTCCTGGGGCCCGGGGGTGGGGCCCGGGCGCAGGGGGGCCGGGGCAGTGGGTGTGATGTGATGCTTGAAGGCCATCAGGCGGTTTGCATGGGTATTGATGTCCATGACATGTGAGCTGATGGTCTTGTTGCAGCGCACAACCCCTGCATGAGCATGCCGTTTGATGCGCAATCACTGCGCATGCCCGCCGCCGCGCCCGCAGTCCGCCATACATCAGCCAGCCACCCGCAGCCGCGCTCACCTTGTAGGGTGTGCCAAACGTGCGGTCTTTGTTGAGCAGCTGCCCGGCCACGTCCTTGTCGGCTGGGTCCATGCGGCGCAGGTAGTAGTAGTCACCCTGGAGGTGGGGAGGGGGACATGGCACCCGGGGCAGGCAACTGGAGGTCAAGGGGCCAGGGGCGACCAGGACAGGCCGGACGGCTGGATAGTGGCGCAGGCGGCTGCGATGTCACTGCCTGGGGCAAAGGGGACCCCGCGCGAGGGCAGGTCTCCCGGCATAATGTGGCCCCACAACCCTGATGGCGGCCCTCACCGCGCAGAAGCCAACGTAGCCGATGCCATGGATTGAGCCAAACAGCTGGCGGATGGTGGGCAGGGGTGCGCCAGGAGCCGCGGCCAGCGGAGGGATGGCGTCCAGGGTCGTGCCCGGGCAGGAGCCTGCGCGGAATGGTTGTTCAAGCAGCACGGTTCTCAAGGTGGGCGAGCTGGAGCGCTGAAGTGTTGGTGGCAGGTGGCATTTATCACCTTTCAGTTGGAGTAGGTAGGCTAAGGTGCGCTAATCCTCTGCTCTCTGCAACTCATAGGCAAGACGCCCGAGGACGCAAGGCCCAGGTGGTGACTCACCAGGTGGAGGGCCCTCCAGCAGGTACGGGCTACCGCCATGGCCGCCAGGGCTGCTCTCGCCGCGACGTCCGCCCGCCGCCGGTGCCACCACAGCCGGGGGCGGCGACTCTGGTGCTGCCTGCGGCTCCTCTGCCGGCGGCGCGGGCGCCGGGGCCGCGGGCTCCGAGTCGCCCTCCACCGGCTGCTGTACGACAACGGTCCCGCCGCCGTCCGAGCCGGGGTCGACCACCGCAACTGGGCCGCTGTCGTCGGGCACCGCCGTGTCGTTGGTCGGGTACCAGACGGTGTCATTGCTGCCGATGGCGGGGCTCTCGTAATCGCCGGGCGGCAGGATGATGGTGGACGGCGGGATGATGACGGTCTTGTTGGGCCAGTTGAACTCGGGGGCGTTGATGAAGTAGGGCAGCTCCCCAACGTACCAGAGCGCCCCCGGGGGCAGGCAGATCTTGGGGGGCAGCATGTTGATGACGTAGTCGGGCAGCGTGCCGGTCAGGTTCTTGGGGGCTGGCGGGAGGCCCAGGGTGCAGGAGCCGGGGAAGTTGTACTTGGTGCCGCCGTTGGGGAACACGAGGTTGATCAGCTCGTCGGACAGCACGGTGCCAAAGGGGATGAGCGCCAGGCCCGGCACCACAAACACGATGCCGGGCGGCAGCGCGGCCAGGATGCCCGCCGACACGACGCCCGCCGGCACGATGCCGATGAGGCCAAGGAGACCCAGGAGGCCCAGCAGCCCCAGCAGCCCGGCGCCGCCCGCCGCGCACGCGACGACCTCGAGGCCGGCCTCCTTCAGGTCCCCGACCGCCTTCTTGGCGCGGATGCTCTTGTCGTCGGCCTTGTGGCTCAGCTTCTTGGCGGTGCCAAACTCACGGTCGATGGTGGTGGTGACGCCCTTGAGCACGACGGCCTTCTCCGAGAAGCTGCCCGTGTTGAGGTAATCGGCCAGCACGCCCTGGACCGCGTTGGAGACGTCGCTGAATGCGACAGACGCGAGTGAGGCGGCGGCGGCGGTGACCTCCAGGCCGCGGAACGCGCACGTGGACTTGTCCGCCTTGCCCTTGGCGCTTATCTTGACGGCGTCCTTGGCGGTGGTGTTGCTGGGCAGCAGGGCCAGGGCCGCATTAATAAACGCAGGGCCCTGGGGGTACACAGGGGGCAGACGAGGCAAGACAAGGGGTTGATCGGCGCTGGGTGGGTGGTTGGGTTGGCAATGTTGCGTAGAATTGCACGATGGACAGTTGTCAATCCGTCGCAACAGCTTGCTACCTGGCAAGTTGCTTGGGTTGGCAGCCAGTGTTTGTCCTTGCGGCATTTGAAATCTCAGCTGCTAAACTGTTGATGCCGCTGCATTGCTGTTGCTTCGTGCCAGCTGCAGCTGCCCCTGGTGTGGCACGTTTCAATTGCCTTGCGCCCTGCCGCTGGGCGGCACCCTGTGCCGCACCACGCCACGTGCCCACACCTGTGGTGGCTGCAGGGAACCCTCAAATCACGCTTCCAGAAACCCCACCAAACCTGCCCGCCCGCACCTTTGCAATCACGGGCAGCAGCGCCGCGCGGTCCTGCGCGTCCAGCGCCCGGCAGGTCAGCCCAGCCTCGGGGGCGCGCAGGTTGTCCAGGGTGCGGGAGATTACGGCCGCGATGTCGTCAGGGCTGGACAGCGCCTCGAGGCGGGCCGCAGGGGTCGCCTTGGCTCGCACCACGTCCAGCAGCGCGGCCTGGGCAGACAGCTGCACGTGCAGATTATCCGAGGTCGCAAAGCCCTCACACAATGTGTTGGCAACCTCAGACGCGGCGGTGAGGACCGATGCGATGCGCTGGTTGAGCACATAAATTGAAACTCCGAAGCGCGTGCCCATGACAATGCCCTGCCAGCTCCTGAAGCTCACGCCGTCCTGTGCCGGGAAGCCAAACAACTCAAACACGTCGTCAAACGCGCTGTCGTCGCCCAGTGCCCTGCAGCCCTCCGGCCCCGCGTTACACCGCAGGCGGCGGTACGGCTCCACCAGCGTGGAGATTGGCGCGACAGTGACGTTGGCGCCTGGGGAGGTGGGCGCCACGCTCCAGTACTTGATGCTGGCCCGCGCCAGGCTGTCCACGCAGCCGGGCGCAAAGGACACCAGGCCGGGCACGGAGGCGTCGGAGTAGAAGCGGCCGTTGATGCTGGTAAGCACCGGCGTGCTGAGCATGAAATCACCACCATAGGGTGTCACAGTGCCCTGGAGGTCGGGGGGGCGAGCGCACCGTGCCACGCGTGCAGCGTGAGCTCACGCTGGTGTGACCAAGGCTGTCACAAGTGGGTGCTTGGATGCTTCGCTTTGTTGCATCTGGGTTGTGCGTTGCACGCTCTTGCTCACCATCTACCGTGTACAGCGTCGCATGGTGCGTATCTGTCGCAATGCTTGGCTCACCTCGCATTCAACGACTCCGCCTGCGGCCATGAGGGATCCGATGGCAGACGGCCCTGGCGCTGGCTCCAGGCAGCCGTACTGTTGCGTAGAGGGAAACACGTGGCGAGTCGTCATTGCATGCATGAGGGCAGGCAGGCCAATCTACATCACAATGCCAGCTAAGCACCATTATGTTCCAGTCACCTCCCCTCCTCACCCAGCGGCATACATGACGCTGCTCTCAGCTTCACAGCTCACCCCATATGTTCCCGATACTCCATAGGCGCCGCCGTAGACGCCGCCCACGCCGTATCCGTAACCAGCGTAGCTACCATAGGCGCCATAGCCATAACTCGCGCATTGTTGTGCGCTCGCCACACCCAGGCAGCCTGCAGCGCAGCGGACAGCAGCTCAGTCAAACAGCTGGTGCAGACGGTTTCGCCACGTGCCGACGGTCCCGAGGGTGCGTCGCCTGCATGCACGCCCGCAGCACGCATTTGAAATTATTCAGATATGATTCGAGCTGCCTTGGCGCACCTAGAATAGCCAGCAGCGCGCTCAGCTTGAGCCACATGCTAGATGTGCCGCGGGGCGGTCACGCCTGCCGCTGGACCGAATCAAACACAAGATAGTGTCCAGTATGTTTTGATCGCTCAGTGATGTCCGTTTTGGCAGCCGCGTGCTGGAGCCGCTCGGTCTCAATCAACCTCTTTCTGTTGGATCGGTCATGCAAGGTGGCAGAGACCGCTTATTGAAGCAAACAATGTGTTATGAAGGCGTTGATACACTGTTATTGTGGATTATACGGTAAGTGCGAAAGAACGCGTCACGCTCCCTGCTGGTGATGGGCAAGGCCAGGGTGGGGCTGGCACCAGAAGCACGTTCCAGGGCAAATTGCAGCGCTTACTGGAAGCTTGGACACACTCTCTGCAGGGGAAGCCGCAGGTCAACTCAACTCATCAACAGCACGGAAGTGCAACCCAAGCTTCAATCCCACACACAGATCCTTGCCCGTTTCAGGTCATCACAGAATCCCCTGGAGTGCCTCAGGGTCGCCCTGTGAGCCCGTTGCGGCTGGAAACCTGTTGCATGCTTGCTGCCAAGTTCCCTAGGCCATCCAGGGCCCGGCACCAGCTCCGCTCATTGTGAGGGCGCAGGTCTTGTGAACAAACTTTCCAAGGCGCTGGATACGCCAGCTCCTGCGATGTTTACCCTGCTCACAAGGCACTTGGTTGCAAGGGAAAAGTGGGCCATCATCAAAGTTCCTGTATGTTGCGCAGTGTGACTGGCTTGTGCATGATCGATGTGCTTGCATTTGTGGCGGGAGTTGATGCTTGAGAGGCGCTCGACATACATCATACGTAGAATTTTCACCACATAAAACCAGCTGTCCATGCACCTACGGCAAAACAATTGATTTGCGCACGGCTGGCTACAAGGTCAGGGTAATGTGTGCATTGCACATCACGCAGCAAATCACGACAGGGGCCGAAAGGAGGGCGAACGACAGCTCCGAAACCAGCCCGCCATATGATGTGCATCTGTCCCGATTATGTGATGATGGCATCGATGACGTCACCGTCCACGAGGCCGACGCTGGCCGGTGTTGCGTCGGGTGAGAGGACACAGCCGCTCTCGCGCGCGTGCAGCAGCACCACGCGCCCCGCACTCCCCGGGTCCAGGCCGCTCTTCAGCGCGACGACCGGCCGCATGCGGCTGAGCTGCTGCTGGGGCTTCATTGCTACGCTCAGCGACTGCCCACTGGCCAGCCGCACCGTGAACGTCAGCCGCTCAGGCACCGCGGGCAGGCCCTGCTGCTGCTGCTGCTGCTGCTGCTGCTGCTGCTGCTGCTGCTGCTGCTGCTGCTGCTGCTGCGGCTGCTGCGGCTGCTGCGGCTGCGGCTGCGCCTCGGCCCCCGGCGGTGGCAAAGAGCTGCGCTTGGACGTCCCGCTGCTCGTGCACTGGCGCTTGGAGGAGCGGCCGCCGCCATTGCCCTCGCCCTCATTCTCGTCCTCCCTCCTTTTATCTCTCGCTGCTGTCCCCTTCTCCTCAACGCCTGCAGGCTTCTGTGGCCGCTGCGCCAAACTGCCGCCATCAATGCCCCCAAGAGCCGCAGCGCCATGGCCGTTTGTGCGTGCTGTCAATTGCGACTGCTGCGGCTGCGCCAGTGCTGGCCCCGGCTCCTCCACTGGGTGGACGTAGATGTTTGTGTCAGCGCTGTTGCGGGCCACAAACACCCCCGCCAGCTCGGTCTCGTCGACCTCCTCACCCCAGCAAGTGCGTGTGGTGATCGTTTGCCGGCTCAGGCCGGCTCTCTCATAGTACGGGTCAAGCAGCCGGCTCAGCGGCCAATCAGACCACACCTGCAAAGCGCACGTATGGTGAGCAACGCTCGTGAATGTGTGCGTGCGTGCGTCTGTGTGTGCATGTGAGCACGAACACGCGCGCATGCAAGTCTGTGTGCATGCTTCTGTGTGCGCGTGTGTGTTGTTTGGCTCTTATGTGTGTGTTGTGTGTGTGTGTGTGTGTGTGTGTGTGTGTGTGTGTGTGTGTGTGTGTGCGCGCGCGCGTGTGTGTGTACTGCAGGTGCATGTGTATCTTTATATGCATGCACATAGATGTGTGTGTGTGTGTGCACGTACGCGTGTGTGAGCACGCATGTGCATGGGGTGTGTGCGCGTGTATGGGTGCTGCACTTGCACGATCACAGCGATGGGTTTGGGTATGTTGAGAGGAGGTATCAGGATGATGCATGTAGTTGTGTCACATACGGGTGGAGCGGGGAGGCTGTGCAGACAAGCGGAGCTGCTGGTGCATACTGTTGTGGGGGTTGCCGCGTGCCAGGAGCAAATTGATCGCCGACAGCGTGGTCGCCCCCTCCTCCCACCTGGTAGTTTCCGGACAGGCTGCTGTCTGACCAGTGGCGTACCCCGACCGAAATCTTGACACGCGCCGGCGATCCCGGACCTGAAGGCTTCAAACCCGCTGCTGCAGCTGGTCCTGCTGCTGCCGCGGCCGCCGCTGCAGCTGCTGATGGCACACCGCTTGGCCCCGGCTCGGCTGTCCCTCTACCGTCGCCTCTGTCTTCGCCACTGCCGCCGGCCGGTGCGCCCCCAACCAACGGTCTCACATCCATGGCCGGCGCGAGGATGGCAGGCGTGGGGGCTGACGCGTCTTCGGAGGCACCGCCCATGCTCCCGCCTTGCCGATTTGGCAGCAGCAAGCCGGGGTCGATGACGGCTCCCTGGCGCACGCACAGCTGGTAGCAGGCCAGCGCTGTCACTGCATCACCGCCACCAGCAGTGTACTGCAAGAAAACAGGGAGTGTGGCGGGACCTATCATGGCGGGCTGGCATGCGACATGGTTGGCTGCTATGAAGGCCCCCATGCAAGTGGGCAGGCGGTGCAGCGTTCAGGGGCCACGTGTGGCCCCAAGTGTGCCGGCATTGCACAATGTGACAGAGCCCTGCGCCGCTCGCCCCGACCCCCCACCACACCACGCCCTCGCACCACTGCATGTGCCTGCTCCATTTGGTGCGCCTCCATCACAGCACCCCCGGTCGCCCTGGCAAGGGCAGGGCCGGCCATCAGCAGCAGCTGGTGCGGCTGCAGCTCAACGTCCCGCGCTGCGGACGAACGACTGTACACCCGCACCTGAGCAGCAGGCGATCCAGCAACGCAGGGCATGGCGGGGCAGGGCGTCATGCGGGCCCGCACCAAGCTATTGGGCCGGGTGGCGACCGCTGTGCTCGCTGGTGGCTCTGCGGCCGTACGTCAGCGCTCTGGCCCTGAAACTGGTGCTTGCTATGGCCTGCCCAAATGTGCTCACTTTGACGCCGCCCTCCGATGGCGTGTGCGGTCGCAGCAGAACCAGCAACACGCCATCGCCCGCGCTCGGCTCCAAGCGCGGCGTCCGGCCGGCCACAAACGCCTTGGCGCAGCGCGCGCTGAGGATGCTGACGCCCACTGCGCCCTCAGCCAGCGGCGCGTCGTCCAGCAGCGCGGCAAACGCGGCCGCGCTGGGAGCCGACAGCGGTCGTGCACGCACCAGCGTGGCGAGCATGCCACGGCATAGCGTGTCAGCCGCCTTGATTGCCTTGGGGGTGTGGGGCGAGGGTGTTGTGGCGACGCCGGTGCCAGCAGGTGTATCGGTCTTCAGCTGCAAGTCGGGTCTCCAGCTGCGGCAACGCAGCAGGGGCCTAGCTGCATGGCGTGGCACACTCCTCCCGGCAGGCTGCTGCGGCGGCGGTGGTCGGCCCTAAGCTCGCACACAGCTGAATGGGCAGATGCCTGGGTGCAGGCGGGTTCGCATGGGACTCGCTCACCGCTTTTGCGACAGCATCCACGCCCACCGGCAATCCCCACAGCCGCCTGTCTGCCGCGCGCAGGTCCACCCCCAGGCCGCCGCCCTGCACCTCGTACACGGCACCCAGCTGCGACTCGCCTCGCGCGGCGCGGGCCGCCGCTTCTGCGTTGATCTCGTGCTGCCTGCCCGGCTTCAGAGTTAGCAGCCAGCTGCTGGCACAAGCTGCAAAGTGCGCCATCAACGCCACCGCTGCCGCATCCGAGTCAATCACAGCGTAGCCCTGCTGCCTCATGCAGAGGCTCAGGTGCCAGTTGGCAGGAAAGGCGGAGGCAGCGGCGGGTGCATTGCGCAGCATGGGGCCCCAGGGGCGCTTCTGCTGCCAGAAGGGCCCAGGTGTTGTCAGCTACCACCAGTTGAGGCTAACGGCTACTCATACTGTACAAAGCCACGCACTTTCTAGCTTCGTGATGGTGTGGGCGCTGCGTACTGTACTACGGTATGATACCGGTCGATCTCTGTTGTTGCAGATCGGTCCTTACGTGTAGCAAATGAGATACATATGACTGGCCAGACGGTATAAAATAAAACCTCAACTACCTTGGAGTCGTAGTCGGCCGTCACCGTCGCACCGGGGATCAAAGGAGCAAGTGTGCGGCAAGCAGCGGAGTGCACAAAGCGAGTGGGACTGTGTCACTGGACACTGTGGGGTCCCTGCCCGTACCCGTTACAGTGTGTTACAGCAATCTCATGAGTACCGGTAATTTCTCAACAGCTGAAGCGTCATTCAGCACAATTGTGTTGTATGATTGTAGCGCCCGATCTGCACGCCTGGACTGCAGGGTAAACTTCTACATAGCTGACACACAAGTTTATGGTGTTATTCCCGCTTCAAAGTTTCAACCCTAAAATGGCATTGGTCCATTGTGGAGAAAGTGGCTTTGCTGTACGCCTGGCTTCATGGCTGGCACTGGTCATTGGGCACCGCGTGTTTGGCATTCACGGTCACCTGGATGAGGTTGTGCAGCCATGTTCTGCTCCGTATCGCGGTCCAATCCGCACAATCTGCGGGAAGACAAGCTTCGTCTCATGACTGTGCTGCATGTTTCCTTTAATGTTGGGGTGCATTTTGGCAGTTGACCCCTCGGCACAGATGACGTCACCCTGCTGACCACGTCACGCGCGCTTGCTGCACACCGTCGGCTTCGTTTGCGTTTTGGCAACCAGCAATGAAGTTTGTGGCAAAAACAGATATGTAATGCTGCGATATACAGTCTTCCCCCGCTACAGCGAACCCCGCAATAGCGAAAACCCTGCCTACAGCGAACGCCGCCGCTACCCCCGATCGCTCGCCACACAGATTCACCCCGCCACAGTGAATATTCACTACGGCTATAGCGAACGCCAAAGG